TGTACGTGTCATAATTTTCTTTCCTGTGATTTATGGCTACACATGCCTTCTTTCCTGTGATTGATGATGAAGAAGAATGATCGGTGATGAAGGTGAAGGATGATGAAGATCGGAGATGATGGGTAAAAATGGTGATTAGAGGATGATGGAAGAAAAAGAGGAGGAAAGTTAAATTTGTAATTTTATTCTTACATTTATTTGGTTTATATAAGAAAAACCCTTATTTTATAATATGTGCACCCACTGGTGTTGAATCGATGGGTGTACGTATCTTTATCCAATGTAAATATAAACATGATAAAATTGAGCAACATTTTAATGGAAAGAAGGAGAGACATAAAAGGTAGCAGAAGAAAAAGAAGAAGAAGATGAAAACAAAATGAGAGGGCTGGGTAGCTCTGAGAATATATAGAACCTCTTACCTATGTGTACTTTGGTGGTATTTATTTTACCGATGTAAGCCTCATAGGTTCTATAAACTTTCATGCGGGAGCAAACATATCTGAAAATTTTGTGTTTCTGCTTCATTTTTTATCGACAAGGTGATGGTGGGAAGTTGAAAGATGAATTTTTTACCGCCATCAAATAATTATTATAATATTAAAATTTCACACTAGAATTTTAACAAAAAAATTGCTAAAATATTATTAACAAACATCTATATATATAATTTATCTAAAACAATAAATCTTATAATTTTAAGATCGAATGAACTAATCACAATATTTTATAGTTTAAATTCTAAAAAAAATAATATATACATAAAACAATTAGATTCAATGCAAAAACATATAAAAAACAATAATATTAAATAAATTACACTTATCGTTGCTCGATCTAGTCACTGTAATGAGAAGAAAAATGGTAACGAAGGAGTAGAGGAAAAATGGAAATGAAAGAGTAGAGGAAAGAAAACTGCTCTCGGGAGAGAAAGATGAAAATGAGAGGGGAAGGGGGGGGGGTGGGGGTTTCACAAGGTGTAGAGGAGCAAGTGTCAGCCTTACTGACGAAGCTCACGTTGCGAATTGGAAAGCTCTGTTGCATCAGAGCTCTGCTTGACCAGCGCCGTTTGTAGAAACGTATTATTGATGAGAATCTTCTCGACAAACAAAAAAAAAAGGCTGCACCACCTGCCGCAGAGTGACTGCACCACTTGCTATAAAGTGACTGCACCACTTGCTGTAGAGTGACTACACCAGTAAGGTAAGTGATAAGCTAAATTTATATACATATTAATAGGGAATTTTTACTTTGATATTATTGATATTTGGATGAGTTTTATGGGATTTTATTTGATTTTATATGGTT